AAGTAAGTACACACTGTAATGGAACCATGTAGGGCCTTGTTCAGGGGCAACACACCTTCAAACTCTTACAGGAAGAGATATTCTCAAGTCAGACCATGGCAATGATTCCTCACATTTTGTTTTACTTTAAGAAATGAACACAGCTTTCAAAATAAAGCATCGGTGTGCACAGAAAAGCAATTGATGGAATACTGACACATTTCTATTAACACAGAACTAGGTTGGATATTATTGACTTTGAAAATACTACAATGTGTGCAAAATCATTTAGTCTAATAGTTATGGCCCCTTATTTGCACACTGCACTAGGAATCAGAAAATGATTTTCAAATCAAGTCTAGAAATGTGATTTTTGCAAAGCATGATTAGAGAGCACTCTTAGAATATAAGGGATATTCCATTATTCCATATGTGGTTCTAGGAAGACATTTTAGTCACTGTTTGATAAGCACTACCAACAGGGTAGCTTAAGCAGGGAAACAGCATAAAAGCATATTAGTAGTCAAAAAGAGCTGGCTTCTGTCTGCAACCCTGCATTTACTCAGAGGACTGGCATGTTTAGGCAAAGCCCTTAATCTGGTCTGATCTAACAGTGAGAAAACTTGGCTATTTAACAAAATATAGCTTAGAGGGTTGAGAAAATACAATGAACTAATTAAATATTTTCATACATGAATATATCAAACAATACAGTATGAATCAATATATAATGGTATCTAATGCTCAGAACATCAACATTCTAATTCACATGGCTTATGTCTCACAGAATCCAGAAATAGTCATACTTAGAAAGAAGTAGAAGAAGAAAAACCAATTAAATACCCTGTCAGAAATCTTTGCATTACAGTAATGAACAAGTCATATATAAACTAGATCTAGCAAAATATCTATTTTAGTAGTAGTGGGGTTTCAATTCAAGGCCTCATGCTTGCTAGGTAGGCACTCTACCACCTAGCCACATCTCCAGCAAAAAACTCATTTTACGGTCACATGGAAATATAAAAGCAAAGCAAAGTAAAACAACAGTAATAGCCCAAAACAAGACACAATGAAAGTCTCAGTCATAAGTATGTTTTAAAATTCCATCCTGAACCTATGAGATAAAAATCATATTCTTTCGTCCTAAAAAAGCACTTTTCACCAACATAGAATGCTTTTCTAGAGTGTTCTCTCAGTGATTTTCATGCAGAGATTTTCTAGCTTATTTTGTCAAATTGAAGTAACACAACGAAACAAAAAAATTGCTTGATCAAGTGAAGAAAAAATACTTCCTTTAATGTTAATAAATTTGCGATCAATGACTATTGGCCTACTGAATTACTCTTGAATATTGCTCACATAACAACTATGTGAGATGACTGGAAAAAAATGTTGATATCATGCTAAAAATCAAGTGCATCTATATCTCAAAGACTGATAAATTCTATATTAAAATTCTCCATAATTACATGAAAATATTCTTAAGGGGAAAAATGAAATGAAAACAATATTTTTAATAATTGTAGCCAAAAAGGGAAGGAGGGAAGACAAGGCAGCCAGAGTTGGGGGAGGAAGAAGCACTGGGCCTAAAAATATCCATGCACTCAACAAAAGGCAATATTTGATTTAGTGAGACAGCACCCCACTATGTAGTACAGGCTGGACTTGTACTCACAAGGTAACCTAGGCACACCTGGAAATCATCCCCAGCTCCCCTAGTGCAGGGAGAACAGGGGTCACTGCCATATCTGCTTAATTTTGCTGTTATAGAAGAAACTTTTAAATTGTCTTTCATAATACTAAAAATTAGTAAGTTATTTGCCACCTTTCCATAAAGTGATGAAAAAAGACTACCTTGTGAAGAACTAATTTTGATTGTGAATGAACAAAAAAATCAGAACCATAAAAAAGATATGAATTCAGAAAAGTTCATCTTTTAATTATATCAACAAAGATATGACTTTGATTATAAAAGCATTGTAATCAACTACTGATAATTGGGACTCAGCTACGAAGTGCATTTTTAGATTTTCAAATATGTTGATGCAGATGGATGTATAGATTTCAAAATCCTTTTTTTTTAATGAGTGAGAGAAGTCAAAGTTTTAGTCTTTCATATGAGCAGTTTTAATGATGGGTTGAAGACTACCGTAGTGAGAGAAATTTACTGGGCATTATATGTCTGAGATGTCATCAGACATTGAACATATATGACAATGGCCAATGGTAATATTGCAAGCTCCATTTCTCAACATTGTTAGGCACTTTAAGAATACTAGAAACATTCAGCATAAGTAAGTGCCACAAGCAGAGTGTTGGCTTTTTCAGATTCCTTAGACTCACATTCAATTTCTCTTGCACAAAGAAAATTTACGCTGACGTAAAACTCTTTTAGCATATAAACATCTCCCTATCTAGGAAGCCTATTGTAATTTCAGAAGTTCCAGTATTTGTAATAAGTAGTCATGGTCAAAATTACATGTGGTTGGCTTTACTAAAGCCTTTGTTATAGAATACAAAAAAATTAAGACCAGACATATCATGGATCAAGAAACCAGTGCACCTCTTCAACAGAGATAAGGAAAGTACATTCTAAGGACTTCAAATGTCTAGACGAAAGCAATAATGGCTTTAAAAAAATAAAACAAAAGAACAATATGGATGTTCAGAGAAACTTGAAATATGAGAATTATGGGAAAACTGTACTGATTAAACTAAAAGTAAGTATGGGTATTTGATGAGGTAAACAATTTTGAATCTCAAAAAATATTTTATGGTAGCATGGGATAAGCAAAAAAGTGAGGCGGTGCTTGAATTTCTACATATAATGTATTACAGTCTCTAGTTCTTATTTTTGCACAATAATAATCAATATAGGACTCTCTTAGAATAACATTTTCTTTTTAATCCAAATTTAGGGCAAATGTGTTTATGCCTGTGTCACATAAATATATCATTATTTTGATAATAAGAAAGTTTTATTAAAGCAATTATGACTAGTTAATAACTAGTATTATTTGGGATAATTTACATTCACCACAAATGCAGATAATTTAAAATTAATTTCATTTATAGCAAATGCAGTCTCTAATACATACTAAAATCATAACACAAATTTCAGTTAAATCTAATCTATTTATCATGTAGTGTTTACAGGTTAGTATCTCTCTTTTTATCAACTTGGGGCTCTTGCACGTGTATGGGGAGGTTGTTCCCACTTTTAGATAAACCTGAGTTAAAATTTTGCTTCAGGCCCACTCTATTTTGTAATGTAAGGGGGATTTTCTGAGCATCTTAGTACAGCAGATTTTTGTTTTCCTCCTTGCTTACATTATTAGTAACTTTCACCTCAGCTTTGGCTTGAATTCTAAAAGATATGATGTAGACAACATCCCTTTCTTCCATTCATTTAAAGCCTAACACGGATCATTTTTATTTTATTTTACTAATGGTCTGAAATATTCTAAGGATGAGAGGGTATTTTTGAAGGTGTTTGAAGTAAATTTCAACTGGTAGATCAATTATTTCCACAATTTTATAACCTCTGTATAACATTTCTCCCTCCCTGTCTCTTTCTTTCTCTCCCTCTCCACCGTCCAATCTCTTAAATAGTGTCTCACTAAGTAGCCTAACATAGTGTGGCACTCACAATCCTGAGCCTCCCTGGGCCTCTGGAGCCTCTTGAGCTCCTGAGTGCTGCAGTTTCGTGTCATGAGCCATCACGCCCGGATCTTTATTATGCTTGATTGTCATATTACACAGAGGAAGATGAGCTGAAAATAATTATGAAGGTGCACATCTGAACAAATCAAAGCTAAATGTTTTACTTATTGGTGCTGAGTATGTACCATAAAGTTGCTGGAACTTGGAACTAAGGAAGTCAAATATGAGTGACATGATTTTGTCTGAGATTTTTGTGAAGCATATCAGACTCTCTTCCTGACTGGACACAAAAATGATCCAGAAAGAGAATGGGGATGGGCCAGGACAAGTCCATACTCAATGTTCTATTCAAAAATTGTTAAGGAATATTTAAGGCTCAATAGTGAAAAACCTGGGGTGCTCACAAATAGCAGCACACGTAAATTAGGTAGTGATTATGAATTATTTGGGCATTTTACGACAAATTTCCTTTCATGCAATTTCATAATGGAGAATGGGGCTTAGAAATTTTAATGGTATGATTTGGCTTTGTGTTTTGAACGTCTAAAATCTGGTGTGCTTTAAGAAAAAACATATGTTCAGCACTAACTATGCAGACATCGCTACAACTATGTTTCTCCTTTTACTTATATGACTACACAATAACAAAAGTTCTAGGTCAATATATTTTTCTCATATTTGAAAGATTCTCTTAAAGCATCAAATCCTCCCTGAAGTGCAAAGGGTAGGAAGAATAAAGAAGTAATTTATAATTGTGTTGGAGCAAATCTGAACCTGATTTATGTTGCTATTTCCAGTCTGTATGGCTGCATTTTTCATCGTGTGTGTGGGAATTAATACATACGTGTGTGTGTGTGTGTGTGTGTGTGTGTGTGTGTAACTTCATGTTGGGCTACTGTCACGTATGACTGTGGCTGACATTCCTAGCCGTGAAACTGCATTCTCCTTTTCTAACAAGTTAATAGAGTCCACATTGGAATTGAAGAGTTAATAAGGCAACCAAAGAACAGCAAAACAACTGTAAATTTGTTTGACTTGCCTCTTCAGTAAGTACATTAACTACTCACTAGGTCGAATCCATCATGCGGCATGTCCTCTACTAGCAGAGCTTGGAAAGGATCAGGTTACAGCCCTACACCTAAAACCTTTTATTTTGTTCTTTGTTTCTTCTAGGGCTTACTGTCTGTATTATGTGTGAAGGATTTTTTAAAAATGATTATGATTGGAGGGATGGTATACAACAATAGCATTGCTTTTCTTATGACAAGTCTAGTCAGAGCTGAATACAAAAGCACTAATCATACAAAATAGCTAATTCAAGACTGGATGAAACAATTAAAAAAACCAACTATATACTCTCCTATTTTTCCTGATTCATTTACTTATGATATTGGCACATCTTATTTTATTACTTAAAAAATACAAACATCCTTTCATACGCAAAATAAGCAAATGTTAAATGAAAAAAACTTGTATTTTATATGAATGTTATATATCTTATATTGCTTCTTAAATATCAGCAACATAGATAGTGCATAACTTTTGTGAATCAAAATAAAATCCTTTACGTTAACTATTGCAAAAGTTTGGTACCCAGGTATAATCTCATGATAAATAAGAATAGTTCCTGCTTCTACTATACTGTAAAAGAAAAAAAATGAACAGCAGAGTTTGTTGGCTATCGTAAGAGTAATATCACTTCAGAAAGCACTAGGTGCTTTTTATTCATCATAATATTAAACTTCGGATTCGTAGGTATAAATATTGGTAATTTTGCTTATGGTATTTATAAGTTTTCAAAGCCAGGACCAGTCAAGTATTCGAAAGATTCCAATTTCCAGATGGTTTCGTGTAGTTAAGAAATAAGTAACTGCTAAATTATCCTGGGTTGCCATATTTGAAGCTCCTTACTATCCATGCCAAGTCACATAAACAGCCATAATTTCTAGAAGCCTTTTTCAGTTGCCTGGCTATGCTCTCAGGCAGAGGGAAGTATCGCCAGTAGAGGGCAGAATTTTCAAATGTTGCCGTTCCTGAAAGGCTAGGCATCTTAAGTGGCTGAGTAAAAGGCCTGCTTGTAGTTTGTTTTCGGTTTTTGCTTTCTAGGGAAGGGAGGAAGGAAGCTGAGCAAACTCTAAGCTCGCTCAAAAAGAAAAAGAAAACATCCTTTATCAGCTGAACTTGTATGTATTACCATTCATAACAGTAACTGCATCACTGCTATGTGTGGGAACAAACAGGATTTGGTCTATTTATAAACCTGTCTTACTATAATTCAAGTTTATTCTCTTGGTATTTCAGTGCAACATTGAATCTGGATTGAGGACTAGTTAAAAGAGACAGTAGTTAAAAGAAAAAGAAAGAAGGTTATTTTTTAAAATTATTTTCTAGATTAAGCACTATCATTTTTTTCTAGTCAGTAGATACAGTTCAATGCTAGAGGTCATTCAGACTTGTTAATTTGATTAGCACATTAGGTAAGTGACATTAGGTAAGTGACGACTTGGGGTTGGTTCTGGTCTCTAGCACTGACTACTAAAGGTGATACTCAAGGAAATAGTGTGCGTGGATCCATTGGGTCTTAAAGTGCTCAGAAATGATGGTACAGGAATGGATCTACTTATTATTTTACTCCCGCCTATTTATGCAAATTTTCTTTTTATAGAATCACCTGTGCTATAATTTATGTGCAGATCTTTAAAATCCACATTGTAAAACTGCATACAAATGTGTTTCTTTTGTATCCTTGGATTTTGTTTCACCTAGAAAATGACAATGGTAATTTTTTTAATTCATTTATCTCGTTTTTACAAATGATCTGTTCACATATTTGTGTAATAGGGTGTGTGTGTGTGTGTGTGTGTGTGTGTGTGTGTGTGTGTGTGTGTGTGTGTATGATGAAAGAAATAATTCCTCTCAATTCTATTTCACGTTTTTTATGTCAACTAAAAACTGAACTGTGAAGAGGTTTATTATATGAGATTAAACCTAATTTGAACTAATTGCCCAGGGGTTTTGGATCCAGATCTTTCTATAACCAGCAATGGAAATTACTGAAAGATGTTCAAATTCTTCTTTTAACTGCCACATCGTGCATCAAGGAATGGCAATGATGCACTTCATGAATTCTTTGTGTAGATAATCTCAAAACTGAACTGCCCAAGTATTTTTTTTTAATTTATAGTTGTCATTCTGTTCTTGTGACTCCTGTTTCCACACATGCAAAAAAAAATCTTTCCAATAGTTTAAAAAAGAAAAACAAACTCCTATAAACAGAAAAATCAGAGAGGTGATTCTTATTAGATATTAGTTTCTCTTTCTGGCAGAACATTCCCTGGTTTGGAAATTTTGACGGTAACTTCATCTTGTGGAGCTTTGCTCAAGGGCTCAGTCTCTCTGGACTCAGGAGTATTTGTCTTCTTCCTTTCCAGTTCCTTCTTCCTTTCCTTATCAAGAAGTCTGTAGTTGATGGCATTGCCAATGAGTAGCCATAAGCTTGCAATTAACACGATGGCACCGCTGGCTATATACATGTATTTATAGTCTCCAGTTATATCCACCAACTTACCTATGAGACAAGGAATACTCTTTTAACATAGTACAGCTACTAAATGATAAAGCTTTTATATAAACCTTTCCCCAAATTGCACATTTTATATTTATATCAAATTACTATTGATCAAGAAAAATATTCTAGTCTAGGACACCTATAGATGTTTGGTAAAGGTATATAAGGCATCTGTAGCATTATGGATACATTCAGTTTATTAAGAAATAACCCCTCACCCATTACAAAGAGAAACTGGGCATCTGTGTGTTTATATCCTCAGAAATACGTAGAAGAACGGGCTATGTTTCCATACCCATGCATAAAGATAGAGATAGATTTACAGCATTGAGATTCCTTTGTCTTATGCTTTTTCTCTTCGAAAAAGAGGAAACAAGTGCATTGTTTAAGAAAGTCCGAGAGGCTTTCAGATAGTTCCTAACATGGCTTAATGTTGACTGAATGTCTAGTATTTATCACTTGGCTGAGCACTTTGTCATAAGACCTCTTTGATCCTTATGATCTATCACCATTTTGAAGTCATCAGACCATAGTTACAGTCAGTGCATGACAGAGTCTATTACTATAATAGAGATCTCTCTGCATCACACTATTGTTCACTACTCTGCAAAGTGGCTTCACCAAGCATCCTAGTTAAGTGCTCTGCCATTTTCTGGGAAATCACAGGCTTTACTATGTCAATAGTATTGAGGCCAAAACCATCAGGAAAGACCTGTTTGTTCTGTTTAACCATTGAGACCATTTAAGAAAGAGCCTAGTGCCATAGCATGGAGGTTAGAACAGATAGGGAAGAATGATGAAACAGGTGATGTTTGTCAAAATACATTGTACTCACAAACTGCCAGGTTAAATTGAAACCCCTTTGTACAACTACTAAACACACACACACACACACACACACACATATATATATATATATATATATGCATTGTATATATGTGTGTATAAACATTTCTAGCTAATACTTAGTTTTGCTTAATTTTAATAATTATATGAGCAAAACTTGATGCACACACACACAGTGTGTGCATACTACTTATCAAATGCATTCTAAGAGGTTCCAATGTAGAGCTTGGAAGTCCGTGTCTTTAGTTAAGATCCTCTAGCATTCTGACTAGAGTGTTGTCAGTTGCTTCATATTCAATTTAGTTGCTCAAAATACTTACTATTTAAATAATATTTTTAATTAGAAGAGGATAGAATAAGTTTGTTTAACTTAACAAGACATAAGCATAATCAATATTGCATCCCATTTTTGTTTTTCTAAAGTTAGTGAACATTTCTGTTCCTATAATAGTTGTTTGTAAATGAGCACAGTCCAGTGTGGACTACCAGATTCCACACCCTTTACAACTGCAATGTCACTTCTTTATCCATGGAGATGGATAAAGATCTTGAAAATTGTGCTACTAGTTATAAATCTCACCTAAGTTCTCAAGTTAGATTAACTAAAGTTCTTATTACATGGAGCCAGACTATAAAAACAAATTAGCCTTAAAATCAACTAAGTATGTGATTTTTAAAATAAGTGATTAAATCTGAAATTAAACTTCTCCACGGACTTTTAGGCAATTAGTATTACACAGGTCACGTGATTCAATGTAAAGAGAGCCTCTGTTAATGAATGGTTGCATCTTGGTGTTGCTTTCTGTTCTGAGAAATAGTCTTACCAGCAATAGGAGGGCCAAGCAGAACTGGGCCACATTCTATAATGGTGGTCAGTCCCACAGCACTGGAAAACTTGGTCGCACCCACGAGGTCCATGAGAGTTTCAAAGAGAACGCTACTAACACTTCCAAATCCGTAGCCAAAAAACACGGCATAGAGCACTAGAGTGGTGTAGGACTGGGCCAGCGGGCACAGGAGATGGCATAAGCCGTTGAACATGACCGCTAAACTTAAGAAGTACTGGATCCGGGGTCGGACCAATTTGGAGTTTGCAATCAACCCTCCAAGAGGACGAGCAAACATATCCACAAAAGCCATCACAGACAGCAGAAATGCAGCTGAGTACTCATCTATTCCCCTGTCTTTCGCATAGGGAGCCAAGAAGATAACGGGAGCAAAAAATCCCAGAAACATAATAACATTTCCAGATAAATATATCAAAAATCCTCGGTGCTTGAACAGCGATAAGTCTAAGTATTTATTGATTTTTTCACTTGCTGATTTCTTTGTTTTGGTCTTCTGCATACTTGGATCTTCTTTGCTTATGTCAGTCTTATTTTTGGGCTTAGTTTGTTTGGGGCCAATGGGCCTCATAAGAGCCCCAGCCACACAGGCATGCAAAAATATAGCTGCTAAAATCAAGAAGCCGCCCTTCCAACCGTAAGTATTAGAAAGGAACTGATTGAAAGGAGCCAATGTACTTAAGAAAACAGGACTTCCGGCCATGGCCAGCCCATTTGCAATAGGTCGTTTCATATAGAAATATTTGCCAATTATTGTCAAGGCCGGTTGCAGGTTGAAGGCTAAACCTAAACCTAAAAGGAACAAGACAAAAGGGAGAGGAAAGAGATACAAACATATTACGCCATTCACAAAAAGACACGAATCTTCAATGAGTCTGTTCAAGTGGATAAGGCAAAGCCACAAAGGCAGTAACCGGGAGTAAGGATTAAACAGTACAAGTATAAATGCAATTATAAAACACTAAAATGGTTTCTTGGACACCCAATATGCCTGCTGTTTATTTCTTCAATTTAAAGTATAAGGATAAAAGCAATGTACAAAAGAAAATCATAGGATTGAATGAAAGGAGGATAAAAATATTAGTTATTAATTAAAATCAATTACTTTCACAAATCATCCCAACTCATAATAAATAAGTTCATAGAGTCAGTTCATTAAAATAAGTTCATGATATAATTTTGCTTCTCTGTCAAGAACAATGAAATTCGAAAATGAAAAAAATGTTTTTAATTGCACAGCTGATATAATGTGACCAGACCAAGATGATTGTAATTTATAGCAATCTTGAATTGCCCCACAGATATTTCTCTCAAAAAAATCATGAAAATAATTTTAATAAAAGTATTATAAATTTGTGCTATTAATTTCTTGCTTTACATTCCTTACATTCCAAATTCAATGTGTATACATACACACATTTGCTAATTAAATAAGATTTTGTTTCTTAATGCTGCTTGCAAGATACATTTCAGGGATTAAAACGGATGGTTTGTATAAGCCAAAGTTCCAACTATTTAGGAATTATTTTGCAGTGTTGAGTTTTGCCTTTGAGACACAAATTATGTCATGCATTTCACCAAATCACTATTTAGCAATAGTAATGAATAAAGTCCTTTAAAAAGTGTATAAACTGGGTTTATATCAGCCACTTCTTTTTTACCCTTACCCTAGTTATTATTCTGCCTTATTGCAGGGAATAGAGCCATAAGAATGATTGGTTTACTAATTTACCTACATTGAAAAAGTTTTGCAAAGTGGTGAAGTATTCAAGTTTTAGGGAATACAAGTTTATACTTACTCCAACCCTTTCATATGAACATTGTTTATGAGTAGAATGTCTCTACAAGCTGAGAAATTGAAAACATACCTCAACATACCTGCAAGATGTAAAACACTTAGTTAATAAAACTGACCAGCTTTTGGTTAAGTAGCTTGTAAATGGAAGACCCTAAGGTAGCACCCAAATATTATGTTTCAGAAACTATCTGTATCTTTATCTTTTACTCTCCTTCCCTACTCTGACCCTTGGAATTTGTGTCTTGTGCCATCTGTGGTAATTTCATTTTCATTTGGCAGGAGCTCCCATCTATTTCACTTTCTGACTTTGTAAAATAAATGTAATGCTTGAAATCAGTGGTTGCAACTCTGCCCTGGCTCATGTGTTTATTTGTCCTGCACTTCAGATTTCCTCAGCTCCAGTTCACTTGCCAACAAAAATGTGTGTTGCTGAAATGGAGTGAGTTCCAGAATGACATGATGTTATATGTGTCATTATGATTACTGTTTGCTAATTAAAAAAAATAAATTGCAAAATGCTAGATACTCTCCAAAGCATTTTGTACATTACTCATTCAACATCATAAGAAAGCAATTATCATTTGCCCTAAATCATAGACAATGGGACAAGAGGTGTAAGGATGCTAACATAGCCAGGATCACACAGGTAGTATACACTGAGCCAGGTTTGACAGCTAAGTCTATCTATTTTCAAAAACCCTCTTGGATTGATACAGTTCTTTCCTCTAAAAGTATCAAGCCTTTCTTAGACCCACAGGAATGAAACTATAGGTGGAATGAATTCTATTGATACCTCTGGTATTGAGAGAGTAAAATCATCTTCTATTATATCTTGCTCTGATTTCTATAGTCAAATTCAATGTGGTTGGAATGCTTAAAAAAAACAAAGGTCCTTCCTGCCACTCAGACCCTTCTTAGACATAAGATTTTCATTTACAAACATCAAAAAGTGTCTTGCTATACTCAAAAGGCAGAGAGATGTGGTTAGGGAATAAAGGGAAAGACTTTTTTATCATTATTATGATGATATGTATCTTTTTTCTATTTTTGAAGCCCAGTCTGGCCTTAAATGCCAATTCTCCTGTCACAGTCTTCCTGATGCTTGGATAATAAGCATGCCCCCTCTCTCCAGATTACTACCGACCTTAATACATCTTTTTATTCTCTCTCATCAAATGAATGTAAAGATAGAGTGATCGAAACTTTCAAATGGAAAAACACTACTATTTATTCATCCATGGACATTGGAACAAGATTAAACTACTTTAATGTACAAAAATCCAATTTTTTCCTTTAAAATTTGAAGGTATAATTTTTAAAAGGGCTTTTATTGTGCACGTAAATAAAAATAGTGCTTTCAAAATGTACAAGTTTTAGGTGTGTTTGAGAGAATCACTGCTGTGCATGAGATAATGGAAATAAAGTGGAAGTACATCATTTTGAATACTTGTGTTCAGTGAGAAACAGCCTCATCAAGTTTTCCTTACTAAAGAAAAACTCGGGTCAAAGCTTACAAGCTCTATCTCAAGGAACAGTATATTCTTGTTGTTGTTGTTGTTGTTGAAGTTAAAGGAGCATATCTAGAAAATACCTCTTTCATACCATTTTAAATATATTATTGGTGCTAAATCAGACACTCAGAAATAGGGTAAACAATGAAAAATGAGTTTATTTTTTAAGAAATCATATTAGGAAATCTGTTCACAATCCAACTTCAACTGGCTTGAAGGGCAAAACAGTGAAGAAATAAAAATAAAGCTGTTTTCATTCCATTATTTATATGATAATCTATAATCATCTGATCTGACTTTGGAAGTGAAATGTTTGACTATACCATAGATAATATTCATATGTACTAGATTTTAAAATAGTTGGCAGTAGCACTGCTTTTAAATACAAGCAAGACAATTTATCTGTTGTTCTTTCTTTCTAGGGAACTTTAAGAAAAGTGTTAAGAAGATCTTGAGCCAGGTGCTACTGGCTCACGCCTGTAGTCCTAACAACTCAGGAGGCTGAGATCTGAGGATTGCTATTCCAAGCCAGTCTAGGCAGGAAAGTCCATGAGATTCTTGTCTCCAATCAACTATCTGAAACCTGGAAGAAGAGCTGTGGCTCAAAGTGATAGAGCACTAGCCCTGAGTGGTAAAGCTTGGGGATAGCACCCAGGCCCTGAGTTCAAGTCCCATGACCAACAAAATAGAAAAGAAAATCAGCTGAACACCAAACATAGCTTACCTCCGATGAAGCCCACGGTGAGGTAAAGCTGTATTACACTGTTACAGAAGGAAGCCAGCACCATTCCCAAACAGCATAATAAACCTCCAACTATCACCACTGGCCGGCTGCCATATTTATTCACCAAAATGCTACTGATGGGACCTGAAGAGAAGATATTAAGAAATATTCAGTTGCATTTCAGTTCATTTCTTTATCCTCAATCTTTGTTAATTTTGAAAGCTGGGAAATCATGTTTCAATGATCAAAGGAAAAGATTAGTTTACATGGAACATAAAGAGGACTTTTCAATACTTAACTATAGTTGGTTTGATAGATTATTACTAGTAGTAATAGTAGTAGCAGTAGTAGTAGTACCATTATTTTATGTGGATGCTGGGGCTTGAACTCAGGGCTTGAGTGCTGCCTCTGAGCTATTTTGATCAAGGCTAGAACTCTGCCATTTGAGCCACAGCTCGACTTCCAGCTTTTTTTGTTTATTAAAGATTAGTCTCACAGACTTCCCTGCCTGGGCTGGCTTTGAACTGTAATTCTCAGCTCATAGCCTCCTGAGCAGCTAGCAGTACAAGCTGGGTTATTATTGTGTTTTAGTTCTTGAGCCAGAGTCCCACTGTGTTGTCTGGACAGAGACATTAAGAAATTCTTCTGCCCTGGCCTTCCAATTGCCTCCCAATTGTTGGTTATTTCTCATCATATAAGAATGTACATGAGATAATAAATTACAAGTCTCTAATATATAGCTTGTTATGATTATCACCATTCAAATTTTTATATATTTTTTATTGCAAAAATACTGTACAAGGGCTTACAGTTACATGAGCAAGGTAATGAGTACACTTCCCCTTTGTTTTTCCCCCTACCATACCTTCCCTCCCCATCTCTCCAACTTCTCCCCCCACCAAGCTGTAAAGTTCATTTTCAACATAGTGTCTTGTATATCTCATTGTTACAGTAGGTTGCCCTGTATCCTTATTTCAGCATTTTGTTATTTCCCTTCCCCTCCCCAAATTAGAAAAATGTATATACAAGATGTAGGGGACTGGATCAAATACAATGAAAACAGGGGTTATACCGTGGGGGAAGAACATACAAAAGAAACAAAAAAAATCACACCGTACATAATAAGTACGTTAAAAACAACAGCAACAAAGACAAAACCTCTTGTGTCCCTATCTTGGGGTTCATTTGGTTTAGCATCATCTTCTATTTCATTGAAGAATGAGGTTGGGATATTGACAAGTATTGCATTGAATTTGTAGATAGCCTTTGGCAGTATTGCCATTTTCACGTTGTTAATCCTCCCAATCCAGGAGCATATGAAGTTTTTCCACTTCCTTAGTTCTGCTTTAATTTCCTTGTTCAGGTTTTTAAAGTCTTCATCATAGAGGTTCTTCACTTCTTTAGTTAAATTAACTCCTAGGTATTTTATTTTTTGTGGGGCTATTACAATTGGAGTTGCTTTCCTGATTTCAGCCGTGCTTTTCTCATTATTAGCATACAGAAAAGCTATAGATTTTTGAGGGTTAATTTTATATCCTGCTACTTTGCCAAAGTTTTGGATCAGCTGGAGTAACCTGGGAGTGGAATCCATGGGGCACCATTCAAATTTTAATGGAAAAGATTTTCAACATTCTAAGACACTGCTTTTACTTCAAATTATTTTAGAAAAACAATGTTCTACATTAGATGGACTTTCCCAACATCTGTTTATGTCAGTTATAGGTATGAGGGTAGCTATCATAGCTTTTGCACACTTGAATTTAGATATTTTCCCATGACTTGTGTGGTCCATGAGTAATCCTTCTAATGGTAATCAATCATTTTACAAAGCATTTGAAATAGACATATGAAAATAAATTTTGACTTTTACCTAAACAATCTGTTGACAGATTCTGGAAAGTCAAGAAAGTAGCAACATCAAACATTATAGAATATGTGGAGTAGTTTATGTGAAATTGTAAAATTGGATCTCTTTTAGGACATGTTACCTCACTGGCAAAGACAACATTTTGTGTGTGAATGATACGTATTGAGGACTGAGTCAGATACTGAATAAGAAGAAGTTTAGAAATGCTTTAGCCAGTTTATTTAGCCTATTATTTTCCAATCTGTATGTATTTCTGTGTGTTTGTGAATGCATGTGTTTGTGTGCAAGTATAAAAACAATCGGGAGTGACTAAATCATTAAAATCATCAAAACTTCATTAAATCCAACAAAACTATGTGTCACAAAACTAATCTCTCTATATAACAAAGCATTATGTCTTACTTTGGCAGAATTATTTCCTGTCTTGAAGTTTCATAAAATAGCAGCTCAAGGGCTGGAAGGTGGCTCAGTGGTAGAGTGCTTGCCTTGCATGCATGAGGCCCTGGGTTTGATTCCTCAGCACCATATAAGCAGAAAAAGCCAGAAGTGGCTCAAGTGGTAAAGCACTAGACTTGAGGTGAAGAGCTGAGGGACAGCACCCAGGCCCAGAGTTCAGGCCCCATGACCAACCAAAAAAAAAAAAAAATAGTAGCTCAGCATTTTAATAATTAAGCTTATCTGAGATTCAGTTAAAAAAAAAAACACATTATTTTATATAGCCTATCAATGTGTCAATGGTTGCTTTGATATTTTTTCCATAACTTAAAATTCTATGTCATCTGCAACTAAAGACATTACTTCAAGGAAAATAAATGCCAGGTGAGATCGCAATTCTCACACCAGCATGGTCTGGAAAAAAATGTGTGTGTGTGTATGTTTTTTTACCTAATAATGTAACTTAAAATTTTATTAAATACTATCCTGTGCATTTGGGAATTATCTACATGGATAGTATTTAACACATATAGAGTTTCATTCACTAAGATGCTCATATTGTTCCATGCAACATAACTATTAATAATATAATTTTAGAAAGGTAGAAAGTTATCACTCCAGAACAGAATACAAAATTTTGTGTTTGAAATAATGGACATAATTATACACTGAAAGGCCATTTGAAAGAGAGCTCTATTCAATGTGTTGAAAAAAACTCAAAAAGAGTTGTGCAAGGTTGGTGAAAAGAAAATTTTGCCCTTAATGGAGCACTCTCCCTTGAAGAGCTATTAAGATAAATTATTCATAAGTGTTATAATAACATATACATAGGGTTTAAGAAATTGCTATCCTCATTAAATACACATAGGTAAATTCAAATCGTTTTGAGTGAGAAAAAGTCATAATAAATTTGCTTTGATTAATTATTAAATTTAGGTGTGGATGTTTCATGGTATTCCATTTCTGTTCCTTTCCTCAAAATTACTTAACTCATTCAATTTAATTTAGTTTAATTGAATTCAATTCAATGCTCCATGTCATAAGCTCTTTGTAAAGAGGAGTTAATTCACAACAAGAAAAAAATAATAAAGCCCAGCCATAATCCTCAATGTATCATCGTAAGTGATCAATGTAAGAAGTGAATTTTAAGCAGTGACATACATTATTATGAGTAATAAACTGAGAATGGATTCACAAGCATTATTAATCAATTATTTGGACTACTAAAAAGGAGATATCCTCAAGTTTATTTGTATTACATATTCCATTTTCTATGTGGTGAATTTAGTACAAACAAATGGGCATATAGCATAATTAATTACTATATAAATGTGATTGCCTAAGTTGCATAAATTTAAAATTGAGCCTAGTCTATTAATCATACTACAACTTGCAGCATATTGCAAATAATTATATCTATAGGCCAAGATAACCACATCAAAGCTTCTTTCCTTACTTTTTGATATTAAGGATAGTCACTAAAAATAGAAGAAAAAAAATAGATCTAGATGTGTTGGCAGATAAAAAAGCATTTATAACTTCTATAGAACCATCAATCGAGATGTAATGAAAGTTCTAATTTTAATAAAATGTTTTTATTCTGTTATATACTTTCGTTGATTGATGCCCTTTAAGGATGTATTTATGTAATTCATATATAATCCTTTTCTAGCAAAATGCTATCACTTTGTAAGTGATCTATTAGGAATAGTCAAAGCGCTTTCTCCCTTAAGAGTAAACGTTTATAGGATGTCATAAAACTTTTCTAATTTATAGTAGTTGCAAATAAAATTTTAAGTTGAAAAATTGCAAGAAAGAAAACACATTTGAATTCTTATTTTGGGGTTCATTTCGCCTAACATCAACTTATCTGACCGTTTCTGCTTGTCTAGACATATACTAGTTATTGCAAATAAGGGAAACCATGGGACCTATGTTTCTTCGGGCCTGGCTTACATCACTTAATATAATTTTTTCCAAGTCTTTCCATTTCCTAACAAATGGGACAATGTCATTCTTTCTGATGGAGGCATAGAATTCCATTGCGTAAATATACCACATTTTCTTTTTCTTTTTCTTTTTTATTTTTTGGTCCAGTCGTGGGGCCTGGGCGCTGTCCCTCAGCTCTTCAGCTCAAGGCTAGCACTCTACCACTTGAGCCACAGCGCCACTTCCAGCTTTTTTCTTTTTGCTTATGTGGTGTTGAGGAATTGAACCCATGGCCTCAGGCACGCAAGGCAAGCACTCTACCACTGAGCCACCTTCCTAGCCCCATATACCACATTTTCTTGATAAGGACTCAAATGTTTTTCCTTTCTTGCTATTGTTTCTAACATATTTATAAAATATTTCTTTGTTGCTTTGTATGTCCCTCCCCCATGGTATAACTGTTTTCACTGTATTTGATGTTGGTATAATTTGTGGAGGGAAAGGGAAAAAACAAATTGTTTAACTAGGGATACAGGTGGACCCATTGCAACAATGAGATGTACAAGATGTTATGTTGAAAAACGAACCTTACAACTTTGGCACGTGGTGGGGGATTTTGGGGATGGGAGATGGGAAGGAAAAAACAAAGGAGGAGGCAACAATGCTTGATAAGAAATGTACTCATTACCTTGCCTATGTAATTGTAACCCTTCTGTATGGTATTTTCATGATAAAAAAATTAAGTTGTGATACAGACAGAAGATACACTTTCACAAAGAATCTCTAAGTGCTCAGTGTCAGCTTGAAAAGGTACCCACCTACCCTTAAGCGTGAAAACTATTATTTAACACTTTTCATCATTTCATTAGCAGCTTAGACTTTTATATTCATGAGAAAGATAAAAATTGAAGAA